GGTAACCACTCAAACTTTGCCGACATCGGAATTCCGACGAAATTAGTTCCGTCGGTATGAGCTGACCACTCAAACTTTGCCGACATCGGAAAAATCGGATTTGCGTCGTTATTCCGTCGGAAAGTCGTCGGAAAATTACGACAGCTTATTTCCRTCRGAAATMYGTCGGGACAAGRCGWYGGATTTCCGAYGGAATACYGAYGGTTTMYGTGTCCGTCGGAAATCCGTCACAATAAACCGACGGATTTCCGACGGATTCATTTTGCTCGGAAATCCATCGGGATGCCGTCCGAAATTTCCTACGGAAATTTCGTCCGTCGGAATACTGCTTGTTTTCTTGTAGTGAGTTTCCTAATTTACGATGACTCTGCCATAGCGTTTTGAGAATTAGGTAAGATCTAAACCAAAAACATGCGGGAAATTATGGAAGAGAGCTTTGTTTGTTCTCCGAAAAATATGTACTTTGTGTAGTTTTTTACCCGCTTTTACTGTACATAGGAACCAAACATCCTCTCTTATAGAGTTAGGCTGATGAGTGAGTGAAAAAGACAGAGAATGGTGTAAAGAAAATGGCGAGGATTTTAGAGTTTCCTTCACGTGTACAAAAAGAAAGGCTCTCATGTGTAGAATGCTATTATTATAGATCAAACTCTTATTTCCCATTTCATGAGAAACTTGTCGTGGTTCAGTGCGACTGAAGGAAAAGAGGTGTTTTACGAATCAACAAATGCATCGATTTGGTTTTATGTGACGTTGTATCATCCAAGTTACTTGGGAGTTTATAACGAAAGATTGAAACGTGAACATTTCTTGAGCTTGTGTGGTGCGTTTATGATAAAACATGTGACTTGTGAGGATCAAGAAGGTGAATGTTGAGAGGCGTTCGTGGCAAGAAATGCTCCAGCGATTTGGCCACGTTCTACGATGTGATTTCTTACATCTTTTTTTTATAATTCTAAATCGCTATTGAATTTTTTAACTCTTAAAAATATTAAAGCAAGAATACTCAGATAAAAACTATACCTCGAGCAAC